GGGTGTCTGCCACCCCCCTTAAACTCTGAGCAAGTCTTCCTCCATCTCAGTCCTCCCCGGTGAGTCCTTCCACCACAGCCAGGTTCTTTGTTTGGCTTGTAAACTAAACAACAGCCAACATGACCCCTCGTTTTTCCTGTCCTGTCCTGTTCACATCACAGTTACTGTCCTTGCTGAATTCTGGGCCCAGTACGGTCACCACATCCACCTGTTTAACTGCCAGGGCAATGAGGGGACACCCCTGCTCTGGACGCCTCGTGCCCGGCCCCTAGCGAGTCTTCACACAGACACCGGGTCGCGTGTCCTGCTGGGATGCCTCTCTCGGCTCCGCCAGTGAGTGGACACTTAGCGATGGAAGAGGTGCCTCGTTGCCGCAGACCATCCCACTTCTGGAGTTTCAAGACTAAAGATTTGGAGCTTGAGGATAAAGAAGTCTGCCTTCTCTGACTGGGGCCCACTTCACATCTTGCTTCGGCAAGCACGCCTTAGCCTGAGTCCCGGGGAAGGCTGTCTTGTCTGTGGCTTGCAGGTTCGGGCGCCTCCTGGGCTGCCTGCCCTGTCACGTGCCCGTCAGGAGGTTCTATGCTGGCGGTCAGCTCTGACTGCGCGAGGGAGAGCCCAGGGACCGAAGACAGAGCTCTGTCTCACCCAGCAAGGCTGAGAAATGCAGGGAGGTGTATTTGCTCTGAAGCCCACCTCTCCCTGGTTGCCAGCCAGCAGAGATGTTTCATGTTGATTTCACGTATTCACTTTCCTTCCCCACCTCTGGGAATTCTAGGCTGGTTTCACTTTTTTGTTGTTTAAAAAAAAAAAAAGGAAAGAAAAGATAGCTGTGTCTTGTTCACATGCGCAGAGAGCCTCAAGGGCGGCCTGCACCCCAGCTCTCCTGAGCGTGGCGTGGAGGGGCAGGAGAGGCCGTGGCTGGGCCGGTTTCCCTTTATCGTCTGGAAGTCCTGACAGGCAGGAGGCAGCCACAGCAGCAGGCCTCTCTCCTCTCCCTCACCCCCTGCCAGGCCCGGCTTCCCAGGGCAGCGGCTATGTGTCTCCGCTCCCTGATGAAGTCCACCTCTCAGGTGTCAGGGAGGCGCTCACAGGAGTTCTGCTCACAGGAGTTCTGCATGGCGGGGCTTTTTCCTGGCTGACTCCAGCCAGAGCCTTCCCCTTGCCCTCCTGGAGGTCCTCCCCTCCCCCTCACCGCCACACCCACTCCAGAGGGCCCTTCTGCATGGCTCCAGCTCCTCTGGTGTGGGCTGGGTCCCTTCATTGAGACTGTGAGCTCCAGGTCTCACTCATCTTTGTGTCTTCCTGAGTTCTTGCTCAGTGTCCTGCTGTAATGAATAATCGATTACGAATGGATAGTTCCTTGGAGGAGGGAGGAGGAGGATGGATGCCTTCTGGCTAAACCTCCCTCCTATGGCTCCTGTCCCAGCTTTATCCAGCTGCCTCCTCTCAGGGGCTGGCTTCCTGTCTTCCAGATTACATTCTCCCTGGGCCCTTCCTTCCTCCACCCCTGCCACTCCCTTGGGGTGGGGTGGGGTGGGGGTGGGGTGCCTTCTCCATGGTGCCTCCCAAGCTTGTTAACTGCCCGTCCAGCGGCACCACCCCACCATCCCCTCCTTTTGCCCCTGACTCGGGTCTTTCTATCTAATGACTTTCTACCAGGACATGCTATTTTGGGGCTCCCCGTTGTGCTTTTAGATCTGTTAGATGGGAAGGCTCCAGAGAATTAACTAGGGTAGGGTCCATGAGCATGAAAAACATGGGTTTTGAAATCAGCTTCCTTATGTGTTAAGGGGGGGGTCATAACCGCACCCGCCTATAGTGTGGCCACCTGGGCTTCGTGAGTTCCTCTACGAGGAGCATGGGTGCTGGGATGTCACGAGGACTTCAAGTTCAGGTGCTACTATTGTTCTGACACAGAATGAGCCGGGAGACACAACAAACAGGACCTCACTGGAGCTTTGTTAGTGGACTGAAGGTGGGACTTCAGTGCTCTGCTGACAGGTGTGACCAGGAGGGAGCAGACTGCTGCCCTGGGCAGTCTTTTCTCTCTTTCCTGCCTGTTGTCCTTCACCCCTGCCCCTGGGGCCTTCAGTAGCTAAGGGCATAGTCACAGGCATGGATTTACTTGTCATCAGAATTGAAGGTGGAAGGGTCCAGGGACAGCACGAAGACTGCGCTTCCTGAATAAGGTGTGCGCTGCGCAGAGAGATGAGAAAGGTGGGAGGGCCGAGAGCCTGTCCTTGGAGGCCTTGCCGACACTGGTCCTCATCCGACGGGCTGGCGAATGTGCCGTCCTCAGACTGTTCTCACACTTGCCAGCTCACCTTGTTCTCATGACACCTCTAGGGGTAAGCGCCATCAATTCCCACTGTAAAGAGGGGGACACGCGCTCTGAAAGGCAGCCTGGCTTGGCCTTGACCACACAGCTAGAAGTGGAGCTAAAGGCAAAAAACAGGTCTTTGCACTCCCAGGCCAGCTTCTAATTCCTCTGGGATCAAAGAAGAAGGAACGTCATGGCCACTGAGAGCCTCAGGAGCTGGGCGCAGATTGGGGGACAAAAGGTGCTAAGTTGCTGCAGGCGGGCGGCGGGGTGGTGCTGGGCTGGCCAGCAGTCGTCCGCCCCGCATTTTAGACGGCACCCCATGGGGCACCCATGATACCCTGATGCTCACCAGTCAGGGGTTGATGTTGTGACACACTGGGGCTCAGAATGGGGCTCTGGTCTGAGTTGGGGGGTTGTGGGGGGCCTCAGAACAGCGCCAGGTCCCTCTGAGAAGTGGAGCTGCCTGCAGAATTTGAGCCAGCACACACCTAGCACTCGGCGTCCGCCTGGACTCCTGGAGGTGCCCGCTTGCCAGCTGGCATCCTGGAAGCAGGCCTGCGAAGAGGGTCTTGAAGCCCCTCTGCTTCCCCCACAGCCAGACCGGAAGTTGCTGAGCCCAGCCCGAGCGGTGGGGGCCAGTGTCCTGTCTTACACACGGGCTGTCTGTCTGAAGGGCCGCAGCAGCTCACCTTCCTGTCTCCTCGGGGCCTGGCGCTGCACCCCGCACACAGCAGTGTGGAGTAGCTCCCATGGGCTGGGGACATTCCACGTTGCCAGGGGAGGCATGAATTCTTCCACCCAGCCACCTGCCCAGGGCCTCCTGGAAGCCAGGCACCCTGCTGGGGAATCAGGGCCTAGTAAGACCTGAGCCTCCCTTTGGGTGGAGCCTTCTAGTCTCTGCCTATGCTAGCCCCGCGGTGGCACTGGGACTTCTGCACACGCCAGGGGACGCAGGTGCAGTATTTTCTGTAGGATGAAGGGCTGCTCTGCTCATGGATGTTCCCAAGCCCCTAGTGAGAGCATTCTTGCTGTTGCCTGGCTTCGCCTTCCCAGCACTTCTCGTGGAGAGGCCCCAACTTGTGTCCAAGAGCATTCCTACTTCACCCTTAGCAGAGGCAAGAGGCGGGACCCCCTTTCGGCCACCTACTCTCCCCAGCCCCGCTGGGGTCCCAGCCCGCTGGGCGTCCCGACCGGGAACGCGGGGGCGGGAGCTCGCGCAGCTGCAGGAGCCTGGCGGAGCCGCGAGTGCGCGCGCGCAGTGGGGGCGGGGACGGCGCGCGCGCACCGCGGAGGCCACAAGCGCCGTTCCCACACCTCGCGCCTCCCCTGCGGTCCCTTCTCCCTGAGTATCCAGACCCACGTGTGCAAAACCATGGGTGTGTGTATGTGTGTGTGCGCGGCCAGGGGGCCGGGTGGCCCAGGTCGGACTGGCCCGGAGGTGCACAGTGGGCGGAGGCCAGATAGACAGTGGTGGAGCTTCTTTCCCCCTCCGGTCTTGCCCAGACCTCAGCCTCCTTGGGTCGTCGGTACCTCCAGCCATTCCCCTCTTCTCTCCGCCCTCTTTCCTCCGGTAAAGGAGATCGGCGCCTTCCGCTGAAGGTTCTGCTTCATCCCCAGCTCCCGAGCCCTTGACATTTAGCGGGTGTTCGTGGTGCTCTCGTATAGGCACACAGCAAAACGCTAATCCTATTAAAGATATTGTGTCATTGAGGAGGGGGAGGCTGCCTCCCCCCCGCAGGCCTTGCGCTTATTGGCCGAATGCAAAGCAGGGGGCGGGGCCGAGGTCCTGGGGAAGGGGGCTCGGGGCGATTTCGGAGCCGGGAGTCGGGGCTGGGGATTCGCAGGGGAAGCCCGGCGGTGCTGCGGCGGCGGGTCCCTCGGCTCTGCCCGCCCTGCGTCCCGGCAGCCCGGGGCGGGCGCGCAGCTTCGCCAAGTCGCCGAGGAGAGGAGCGGAGTGCCCTCAAAGTGGTCGGGCTCGGCGCCGGGGCTGGACCGCGGGAGGTGTGCCCGGCGAGCCTGGATCCCTGCGCCCTTGTGCGTCGCGTGGAGCGGCCGGTGCAGCCGGGAGGCGAGCTGACGCTCTGGAAAAGAGAAATCAAATTACAGCCTCTCCAAAGACGCTAAGTTACGCAGGCGAACCAGTTCCCGGAGAGCGTTCTCGGGCGCAGAGAGCCTAGCTGCGCCGCGCCGCGCCGCGCCGCAGAGCTCTCCCGGGCCGGCCGACCCGGAGCCGGGCGCCGTCAGAGAGGCAGCGGCCCTTGCCCACAGTGTTCGGCCTGGAGAGCGCCCAGATACTGAGCAGGGGCGTGCAAGGCTCTGCCGGCCCGCCTGCAGCCCGCGCCCGACTCGGGCTGCCCCTCCGTCCCACTCCGGGAGCGATGCCCCCCGCCCCTCGCGCCCCTCGGGAACCACGCGAGCATGGAGAAGTCGAGTAGCGAAGATTCTTCGATCCACCGGAGTCCATCTTTGGACAGCAAGGACTCGGACTTTGCCAAGCCGTCCACCTCGGGCCGCCCGTTCGGCCGCGGCTTTACGGCCGGCGCCTTCTACGGCACCGCGGGCTCCCGGGGCCCGAGCCGAGCCGAGGGTGGCGTGAAGACCGACAAGTACAATGCACCCAGAGGCAGCAAGTACGTGGTGTTTTACCTGGACCTGTCCTTTGTTTTCCTCCTAGAATTTAAGAAGTGCAACATGGCCAGGGGCTGCCTCTGCTGCTTGAAGTACATGATGTTCCTCTTCAATTTGATATTCTGGGTAAGTCCTCAGTGCCTCCCTCCCTGAGCCTCTTCTCCGCCTGCCGTAGCGCGCGCTGCTCCCTCTCTCCTTGGCGCTGCGTGGCTCGGCTCTGCACAACGGTAAGTGGGCTTCGAAAAGAGCCATGTCCTCCCTGTCCTGCATCTTTCTCTTCCTTGCTCATTCCCGGGTGGCAGAAGGGGATCCAACTCGCTGTCTTCCAGGAGAGACTTGCTCTACTCCTAGGAGACTGGCAAAGTTTGCTGCCTTGCACCAAGTGTCTCCAATCCGGGAACCTGCAGAAATGGATGTGGGATATGAATTCCAAGCCCGGAGTCTGAGACAGGCACCGTGTCACAGTGTAGCTGGTGTTCTCAGTCCCTTGTATCCCTGATTACTCAAGAGTATAATCTGCAGCTTTTTATGGGAATGAGTTGGGGGAGGGGCGGAGGTGAATTCTCCCTACTTCTGTCAGTGAATCCCAGGAAAAGGAGGCAGAGCCCCTGTTCCAAGCCTAGGAACTGCTTCCCAGCCCACGGATACGCGCGCCTTAGGGTTTGTGCGGGAAAGGAGGAGTGGGACAGACGCTGACATGGGGCGGCAGGCTGCTGCTTTTGAGGGATTGCAGGAACTGGGCAGGGAGCGGGCTAGCCATGTGCTTCTGCCATCCCGCGCCAGCCCTCCCCGGCTCCAGGAGACTGGGAGGAAGGGACACAGGGTGACAGTCAGGAGTGCCCCCTGCCTGGGTGAGAGGAGATTTCCAGAGAAGGGCCAGTGGGTGGGGCAGCTTGGACTTGCTTTCGGTCGCCTGTGGTTCTGGAGGCTGTGTCTTCCTATAGGAAATACCAGTCCGGCAAATCTGAAACCTTCATAAGTTCATATCTAATTGTTCCCTCATCCCATCTGCTGCCTCTGCCTTTCTTGCCTGGAGCCCAGACACAGTCAGTACAGATGTTTGGCTCCGCCCCAGGGCCTGTCCTCTGCCTGGCTGATCCAGATCAGCTGCCCAGGGTCCAGGAGGAGCACCGGGAGCAGGAGGAAATCATTCCAAGTGAACTGGGTAGATAGAAGGAACCCGCTGAACTGAAAACTTTTTCCAGGTGTGTGCTGCACACATGTGCCAGACTTCCCACAGAGGGGACAGCTCAGGGCTGGCCCGGGTTCGGTCTGGTTCTGCTCTAGCAGCATATATGACCTTGGGGAAATCACTCTCTCCCTGAGGACTGGCTTTCCTTTCCAGTCCAGTGGGGGCTATGATGGCGGTGGCCCTCAGGTCTCCACCTTGTTACATGGGGGCATCCTGTCTCCCTGCCTTCACCCTGGGGACAGAGCTCCTTTCCTGCCCGGGGCAGAAGCCACAACTTTTCTTTTGAGCTGCTTGGTCTGAGTCTGGTCTTTGAGTTGAATTTCCGGGGCGTCCCCATGCTCGGGGCCCTTCATCCATCACTGACAGGATGTTCTCCCCTGTGCGGAGGGTTTTGGGGGAACTGGGGCAGAATCCTTGGAGCGTCAAGTGACTTTGTGGGCAAATAAATGCTTCGGGCAAAGCAACGCTCCTCCTCCTGTGTCAGCCAGGTACTGGTGTGAATTTCTCTGTTGCCTGCAGATTCACCTGCGTGCTGCCCTCACTGCAGGCTCTGCTTCCCGCTCTGGCCTCACTCAGAGTCCCAACCTACCTTCCTACCATTCTGCCTGGTCCCACTCGGCGTATCTTAACACTTTCTAGGAAGACCCTCTGGGGATCTTGAGTGCCTTGGGCCAGCGCTTCCCACTCAGCAGCATCTTCCCCCACCCCCACCCTGCCACCTGCCGGTCGCAGGAGTTATAGCTCCTTCTCCAGGATGGTCCTCGCTGGGTTTGGGGAGCCGCTCTCAGGCTAGTGTAGCTGTCCGTGTCCTGCTATGAAAAGGCTTTCATGATGTGTTTGTGAGTGAAGAGTGGAGGGCTTAGAGCAGTAAGCCCACCTATTGTGATGTGGTGGGAATTTTCAGTGCCCACCTGAAAGGGAAAAGACGTTGCTAAACTTGCCTGTGATACAGCTTACCTTGGCACCTGATGGACTGACCGACGTTCCACTGACCGACGGTCCTTCCCACGTCCTGTAGCCACTGGGCAGAGACTAGTGAGTGTTCCCTGAGCAGCCCCCTCTGTGGCCATGGTGAGCACTTGCCGTCTTCTGCTCCAGAGGGCGCCTCCTACTGTCCTCTTAACCAGGCAGGGGTCTCTCTTCCCTGGTCCCTGACTTTTCTAATTACTTAATATTTTCAGAATTCCCATGACATGGTATGAACTGGGAAAGCACTGGGTCTCAAAGACCCAGTTCTTACATGCTGGTAGCATATGAAGTGATGAAATAAGGCACAGACCGAGGAAAGGTGGAGAATTCAGCAAAAGGGAGAAGAAGCTTAGATGTGTAAGAGCGCTCGCCACTGTGTTATTGGGAGGTAGAAATATACGTGCAGTGGAGTTAGGCAGGGTGCGGGCTTGGCGGGTCGCTACGCTCCACGCAAATGAACACCTGCGGCCAGAGGCCCGGCGGGCGGGAGAAGGGGCGGGTAGAACCACGTGGGAAGAGAAGGAGTGAAGACACGTGGGCTAAAGCCCCCTGCTGCCTCCAGTGCACACAGCGGAGAGAGGCACCGAGGGGAGCGAGGATGGGGGCGAGGAGGATGCAGCCCTGGGGACCCCGCCCCATCACTAGGAGTGATGGCGCCATCTCCCCCAGCCTCGGCCCGATCCCAAGAGGAGGCTTCCCAGAGGGGTTGGAGTTGACCCGAGGCTGCAGTCCAACACAGAGCTCTTCCCCCAGGTCCCGAGCTACCTGGTAGTTCTCTGAACCCACCGCTGCTGCCACACCCCTGCCTCTCAGGGCCTTTGGGAGGGCGCCCAGTGTGGAGGAGAGGTGCAGCTGTCTTCTCCTGCAACCCCTCCCAGGCCTGACAGCCCCTGGGTCCTTGCCACTGGGTGGAGCTTCTGGGGTGTTGGCATTGGCCAGGCAGGGTGATCTGCACGGGGTGAGGGAGGCAGGAAGGGGGGGCTGTGCGGCCGGCACCCCTCCTCCTCCTCTGTGAGAAGGGGGCAGGTGCCCTACAGGCTGCTCCTGGCGCTGCGGGCCTCGACCAGGCGGTCACGCTGGCACCAGGGCAGCATTCTTGAGGGCTGCTGTGTAGATGGTGGGGGCCCAGGAGGAGGGAGTGGTCATGTGGGGCTGAACCCACCTCCTCTTACCCTTGCAGACTTCACCCTCAGGGCAGAGGGAGTACTAGCTTGGTGGTGGACGGGAAGTGGGGGACCTGCACTGGGACAGAGGTTTCTGCATCCTGAGGGCTCATCTGCAATCCCCCCCACAGGGTGTTCTCCCTGCGTGGGAGCAAGCAGACCATCCTCAGCCAGCCCCTCTCCATTCCCCACTCTGGACAGCAAGCTGTGCTCCCAACTCCTCCCCACCAAAATCAAGTTCCTGGCTGACCTGGGGGGTGGGGGCGGGGCTGGTTGCTGGCCTAGTTGCCACTCGGTAATGGTCACTTTTCCTGCTTGCCAGCAGAGCCGTGCCATCACTTTAAATCACGGCGGCAGAGCAGTGACATGCTGCCCCCACTGGAAGGTCTGTTCCGTGTGGATCATTCCCTTTAATGAGGCCAATTAGCCGAGGGGCAGTGTTCAATGGCCTGGTGGAGGAGGGCTCCTGCAGGAGGTGGGGTGAGAGCCTTGATTAACCTCCCCTCAGCGGGGTCAGGCCCAGGCACTGACCCCTCTCAGACTGTACTTGTGTCCAGCGGCCGGCAGCTTGGTGGAGGCAGCCTGGGGGTGCACAGTGCTGACGTGGCCACACTGCCAGGGCCTCTGCGGGCCACGCGCTCCCCTTGGTCCGTGGCACCCAGGACCGGAGCCTTGCACAGGCCAGTGCTGAGCGCCCTGGAACATGCTAAGGAGTCTGTGGGGTGCCTCAGTCTGGAAATAGATGTGGCAAGTGGGCTGAGGGGTCCAAATGAGGAACTTGGGGTTCAGATGTGGCCTCTCCAAAGAGCAGGTATAGGCGAAACAGCCAAGACACTTTGAGGCTTCCCAAGGCGCTTGGGTGCAGGGTATCAGGCCGAGTCCCCAGAAGGCGGAGCCACGAGCTCCCTGGGGAAGGTCGGGCCAGATTCTGCTTGGGAGAAGAGTGGCCGGCGAAGGGCCTGGCAGGTGAGCTGAGACCCCAGAACAGGGCCAGGAGGGAATGCCGGCTTTGTGTTTTCTTCCTCTCCAAAGCATTAAAAATTAAACCTCCTTGTCTTAATATCTATTTTTAAATCGTGTCAGAGCCAGCAATGGTGTCAATCAAGAGGGGGTGGGGAGAAAGAGGGTAGAGAAGAGGTAGTCCTCGCTGAAACAGAGCGGGTGCAGTGTCCACCTCCCGGGGAGTGCACAGGTCAGCCTCCATGGGCTGCCCACCCCCCTGCCCCCCAGGCGAGCTCCGGGAATGCCTACAGCCTCCCGGGGCGGGGGGCTTGCCCTGTGCCTGCATCCCTCCGTGTGCTTGACTGCCCTTGACTGCACTTGGCGGCAGGCTCCCGGCTTACTGGGCTGTTGGGGTCCTGATTGAGCCCATTCACTCATGCCACAACTATTTACTGAATGCCCGCTGCGTGCACAGGAGCCTCCAGTTGGTGAGGACGGCTGACTGGGCTTGTACGGAGCAGATCGGTTTTCTCAGGCCAGGAAGTTGTGGAATCGAGAGGTCATCTGTCTCGTCCTCCACCAAACATCTGAACACAGGGCGGCCGTGGGAGGGGTGGGGGGCAGCTCCTCTTCCCCCTGGGTTCTTGGGGTGGGGGTTCAGCAGCAGCCTGGACCTAGCATCCGGGGCCTGACTTGACTTGTCCTTTCCTTTCCGACCCTGGCATGGTGGCAGCTCAACTCTGCCCTCAAAAATGTCTGCACCCATCAGGAATGAAGGGGAGGAAAAAACAGCCTGTGTGTCATAGGAGTGTCTTAGTTTAGAAAAAAGAGTCAGTGAGTCATGAGTCTTTCCTGTTTGT